CACACACACACACTCTCACACACACACACACACACACACACACACACGCACTCACACACACACACTCACTCACTCACCCTAACACACTCACTCACCCTAACACACATACACACACACACACTCACTCACTCACTCACCCTAACACACTCACACACACACACACTCACACACACACACTCACCCTAACACACACACACACACACTGCATGAGCATTTCATTATGTGTCATAATGCAGCTCAGCTCATGGCATGATGATGATGATGGAGTCTAATCACAGAACACACGTGTGTTTGGATTCAAATACAGCCGTGTGCACACGGTGAGGCTTAAAGGAACAGTTCACCCACAAATGAACGTGCGGAAAATGTGCTCACCCTCAGTTCATCCGAGATCAGGATGAGTTTGTTTCTTCATCAGGTTTGTAGAAATGCAGCACTGCATCAGTGTCTCAGCAATGGATGCTCTGCAGTGAATGGGTGCCGTCAGAATGAGAGTCCAAACAGCTGATAAAAACATCACAATAATCCACAGCACTCCAGTCCCCATTCAATCCTGATCTCGGATGAACTGAGGGTGAGCACATTTCCAGCAAGTTTTCCTTTTTGGCTGAACTATTCCTTTAATATTTCTGATATAAGTCTTTTCTATTCTTTAAGTGACTGAGTAATAATGTTTTGCATGTAAATGTGTGTCTGTATTCTCACACACACAGCCTTTCAAACCCTCTCACTGACGAGTGACTCGTTAATAATCAGTGTTCAGTGTTAATCGTTGTCATTGTTTCTGGTGTCAGTCGATCTGTCAGATGTTCAGCTCAGTCAGAATGAATCTGATTCTGCTTCGGGCCGGTCGTTCTGGGTCACAATCGACCGTCACAAACCAGATAGAGACAAACACACACATGACAGAGTTTGGGTGGGTTTTATAGCAAAGATGTAACCAAATAGTCAAGATAGTTGAAGTAGATGAAGTCTATAAATTTAAAGAATTCAAGAATCTGAATATTGGCAGAACGTGTCACGTCAGTCTTTTTTGAAATCGTCAGTAGTTTATAATCAACATATTTTTAGTAACACTTTACAATAAGGTCCCATTAGTTCATGCATTAACTAATATTATCTAACAATGCGCACAATCTTTGTTAACATTAGTTAATAAAAATGTAACTGTTCATGTTAGCCGAGGTTAAGTAAATAATAATATACAATATTTGATTTTAATAATGTATCAGTAAATGTTGGAATTAACTTGAACTAAGATTAATGAACGCTTTAGAAGATTCATCTTAAAGTTGCATCTTATGTTGAATCTTATGAATTTCCAAAATCAGATTTATCATGGATGATTGGTGATTGATCAGTTTATATATTGTGATTCAATTGATTTTGCTTATAAAGCATCCCTTAATTTCCTCTTGAGGCCGTTTGAATCCATCGTGTTGTTATAATATGGCTGATTTAACTGGATTCGGTGAATGTGGCCGCAGTCGTAAAGCTCTTCTGCCGATATTCACACACAGATGATGTTTCATGTCATCTATCATCTCATGTAGTGGTTAAACAGATTAACAGCAGACACACAGCTGAAGCATGAACGTGTGCGTGACGCTCGGTTAGATCAGCCGCTCTTCTCTTCTTCCCCTCTTACTGATGATCTAGTTGATAGGACGATTCTTTCACTGCTTTTCTCCAGCTAAAGGAGAGGTAAGATGCATTCGTGTATATATGTGTGTGTGTGTGTGTGTTCTCTATGTGTGTCTTTGTGCATGACCATGAACTGAAGTCATTGTCTAAGCAAAGACTGTTTGTTGAGAGAACCTCCTTCTGTTTCATGCTCATACATCTCAGTAGAAGCTCACAGGAGAGTCGAACCCGTTCACCATGAGCGCCTGTGGATCCAGCCCTGCCCATAGAAGAGAAAAATCACACTTTAAATGGATAACTCCCCCAAAATGGAGCATTCTGGCATCATTTGTGCACCCTCATGTCGTTTATTTCTTCAGTGGAACACAAAAGAAGATATTCTTGAAGAACGTTGGGAACCAAACAACTTTAGACCCCATTGACTTTCACTGTATGGACAAAAAAGAATATATTCTGAGAAATGTCAACACCGTGAAAGCCAATGTGGTCTAAAGTTGTTTGGTTCCCAGTGTTCTTCAAGAATATCTGCTTTTTGTGTTCCACAGAAGAAAAGAAAGCCAAACAGGTTTGGAACAACATCAGGATGAATAAATGATGAAAAACTGGTAGTTTTCGGCTCTGCTATTGCTTTACAATCTCAGCTATTTCTCAGAGACGCCAACAAGATAAAATTATCTTCTCCTGAGAAAAAGACCCCAGTAATCTCACACGTGTCTCCTCTAGGCTTTCAGAAAAGATCTCAATACTGTCTCAAACTGTGCTCAGATTTGCCAAGATAGCAATCAGAAGTCGGCGATCTCATTATTAACTCAGTATTTCTCATCAGATTATCTGAGCTGCTCCACATACTTTTTATAGTAGAACATCTACTGAGCCTTTGAGAATTTGTGTCTCATTTTAGGAGAAACATCTGAGACTTGAATAAGAGTCTCCTCATTGTTCGTGACCCAGTTTCGTATAGTAGACCTGCTCAAAATACCCACTAGAGATGTGAATTGTGCCATTTTCCCCACAATCCCCCTTGATTCTTGTGTGAAGTGATGTATTCAAATGCATTTTCGTAGAAAATTAGCTCCGTAGATGGTTCTAGAAGTGCTGGAGTTCTGCTGAATGGAGCTCAAGTTCTCACGTCTGTTCAGCTGATGCTTTTCAGAAGTATTTCAGATCTGGCGCCGGTTCATTGGGTTTCAATAACATTACACATGCGAGATTGTGAATGCAGTGATGAATAGAGATTGTGACTCAAAATACCTGCTTCACTTCCGCCTCTCAGAGGTTCAGATGAGAAGATGGATCCACTTTTAGTTTACTGCACAAACACATGACAACATCACAGTATCTCTCTCTGTTCCTCTCAGGCCAAAAGTGTTTGGCTTCCACTCATTCATTTAGAAACCACACGTTTGTTTGTGCTTGACTGTGTGATGATGATTGGCACCTCTCTAATCCAATGGGTGGTCAGGATTCAGAGGGGGTGGAGATCATGTTGGGCGTGTGTTCCTCCGGGCTCCTCATCTACCGCGACAGACTTCGCATCAACCGCTTCGCCTGGCCCAAAGTCCTCAAGATCTCCTACAAACGCAATAACTTCTACATCAAGATCCGTCCAGGCGAGGTGAGAACACCATCACGCCTTCTCCAGGGGACCTTCACAGTTTTGGTGAAGTTTGCTGACAAGAGAACGTTTGTTTGTCTCTAGTATGAGCAGTTTGAAAGCACGATAGGCTTTAAACTACCCAACCACAGAGCGGCCAAGAGGCTGTGGAAGGTTTGTGTGGAGCATCACACGTTCTTCAGGTCTGTAGAGGTTCTTCTGTATGTTTGCTGTGTTCTGTGCTCAGTGGTAATCATGGTTTGCATCTCGACAGGTTGGTTTCTCCAGAGACTCCGCCTAAGAAGTTCCTCACACTGGGTTCTAAGTTCCGCTACAGTGGCAGAACACAGGCTCAGACCCGACGGGCCAGTTCTCAGATCGTCCGTCCGGCGCCGTACTTCGAGCGTTCGACCAGCAAGCGCTACACGATGTCACGGAGTCTGGATGGAGGTTTGTTTGCTTTTGTTTTGATTTTATTTAGTTACGGGATCTCGGCTGGGATTATCTATCTATCTATCTATCTGTCTATCTATCTATCTGTCTGTCTGTTTGTTTGTTTGTCTGTCTGTCTCTCTCTCTCGCTCTCTGTCTGTCTCTCTCTCTCTCTGTCTATCTGTCTCTCTCTCTGTCTGTCTGTCTGTCTGTCTGTCTGTCTGTATGTCTGTCAGCTGTCTGTCTGTCTGTCTTTCTGTTTGTCTTTCTGTCTGTCTGTCTATCTGTGTGTCTGTATGTCTGTCAGCTGTCTGTCTGTCTGTCTATCTGTGTGTCTGTTTGTCTGTCTGTCTGTCTGTCTCTCTCTCTCTGTCTGTCTGTCTCTCTCTCTCGCTCTCTGTCTGTCTCTCTCTCTCTCTGTCTATCTGTCTCTCTCTCTGTCTGTCTGTCTGTCTGTAGATACTTAATATAAGCTGTTTTTTCTTTGAAACTTTAGCAAAGCTAATGATATATAGTTGTTGTGATATCAAATGGCTCATGTTTGTCTGTTGTTCCTCTGACGTCATCATCTCATTGGGTCTCACTGGCGTTTGAGTGTCTGTCATCTGCTTTGCTTCATGTCCTGTTTGCTCTCCTCATCCTCAGTATCAGTCATTAGCAGACGTCTGTTCTATTTTCTCTTACGTTATGAAAGAGTTTTCAGACAGAAGCGAGGCTCGCGGCAGGACTGGGATTTTCGACTCATTAACATGTAATCTCGGCTCCTGGGGCCTGGAACGCGTTTGTTTAATTTCCTGCTTCTGGTTTAATTGGAGCGTTTCTGATGTGTTGCAGCATAAAGCCGGCGGTCTCAGAGCGCATTACTGCACTGCGCGTGAATACTAACACACATGATTCACAGAATGAATGGATGTGTTCAGTGTAGAGAGTGTGCTGCATCTTTAACTATCTCTTCTTGTTAAACGTCTGATTAAATTAATCAAACATCATCATAATGGGTTTCTATACTTAAGATAGAATGATAACACTCTAGTTTATTGACATCTAGTAGTTAGAGAATACTCATTATCTGGATAATATCTGGTTAAAGTGTTTGGTACAGTGACTTTATAAAGTATTTGGACACTTCAATCACACACATAAATGTCTCAATGTCACTGCATCAGAAATAAAATATATTTGTTTGTGGTTAATTAGTGGATGATGTTGGTAATTAATGGGATTCTCTCTGTCTGTGGTTGCTCTGAACATCCACTAAAAATCACCAAAACACCCGCTGATTCAAACCAGTCTCATTTTAGTATCATTGAGATACTATATATATATATTTTTTTTTTTTTAATGTTTTGAATTTTTTTTTTTGTACTTTCATTTTAAATTTAATTACAGTTTTTATAATTTTTTGTTTTTTAAAATGTGTCTGTATAATGTTTAAAATTAATATATTTTTCCAGTTTTATTTATTTTGTACAGCAAGTTATTATAAAATGACATGTTGCTTTGGCAACTAGCTGAAAAAAAAAAAATTTTTAAATTTTATTTCAGTTAACATTTAGTTCATTTAAAACATATTTTATGGGTTTTGTTTTAGCCTACTATAATAATCCTGATTCCAACACATTGAGACTTCACGCATAATGAAGAAACGTAACATTAGTGAAGAGAAACAATCCTGTAGATACAGACACTTATGAAAGACATCCAGACGTTTATAAATGTGACTGAGGTGATTAGACACTTTCAGAGGTTAATGTATGTTTCTGCGTGTGATCTAGTCTGATGTGTGCGTCAGTGTCTGTGATGCTGTGTTTGCTCAGACGTGTGTGTGTGTGTGTGTGAATCTCCTCAGCTCGGCGGACGCCAGTCAACACAGCGACAGTCAATGTAAATGGCACTAGACCAACAGGTAGAGGCGTTTCTCTGTATCCCTGACGCTTGTAGATACAGCTTGTTTGATCCTGATAGTCTGAGGTTGTGTGTGCATGCGGCAGGCATGCGCTGGTGCTCTAGCGCGCTTCTGCTTCAGACACCTTTGATTTTGCACATGCTGTGTCTGCGTCAGTGTTGTTTTACAATCATTGAGATACTAATAGTTTTTATTAATATTTTAAATTGTTTTTTTATTTTATATTTCATGTTTTCTTTTTTATCCTAGTTAAAGTTTGAGTAATTTTGTTGTGTGTTTTTGACATTTTTATTATTATTATTTTGTATATGTTGGTGTAGTTTTTATTAATTTCATTTCAGTTTTAGTTTTAGTTATTATCCGTTTTAAATTAATGAAAATGAGAAATGTTGCTTTGACAACTAGCTGAAATAATGTTTTTATTTTTATTAAATTATTTTATTTTTTATTATGTTTTAATATGAGTACTTAATATTTAATTTTTAATTTTTATTAGTATAAATGTATATTAATAATGATTTTATTAATAATTTTTAATTGTTTATTATTTTATTGATTTAATGTATGTTTCTGCGTGTGATCTAGTCTGATGTGTGCGTCAGTGTCTGTGATGCTGTGTTTGCTCAGACGTGTGTGTGTGTGTGTGTGAATCTCCTCAGCTCGGCGGACGCCAGTCAACACAGCGACAGTCAATGTAAATGGCACTAGACCAACAGGTAGAGGCGTTTCTCTGTATCCCTGACGCTTGTAGATACAGCTTGTTTGATCCTGATAGTCTGAGGTTGTGTGTGCATGCGGCAGGCATGCGCTGGTGCTCTAGCGCGCTTCTGCTTCAGACACCTTTGATTTTGCACATGCTGTGTCTGCGTCAGTGTTGTTTTACAATCATTGAGATACTAATAGTTTTTATTAATATTTAAAAAATGTTTTTTTTTTTTTTTTCATATTTTCATTTTTATCCTAGTTAAAGTTTTAGTAATTTTGTTGTGTGTTTTTGACATTTTTATTATTATTATTTTGTATATGTTGGTGTAGTTTTTATTAATTTCATTTCAGTTTTAGTTTTAGTTATTATCCGTTTTAAATTAATGAAAATGAGAAATGTTGCTTTGACAACTAGCTGAAATAATGTTTTTATTTTTATTAAATTATTTTATTTTTTATTATGTTTTAATATGAGTACTTAATATTTAATTTTTAATTTTTATTAGTATAAATGTATATTAATAATGATTTTATTAATAATTTTTAATTGTTTATTATTTTATTGATAATATTTTATTAGTAATTTTATTTAGTGATTTTATTTCAGTTAGTAACTTTAATAACCCTGGTCTGTCACTGTCGGCTGGCTTTGTTTGTAATTGTCTCTAACAGTCTGGTTAAAATAAGCCAAAGTCTCACTGAAACATCATTATGTGTGCATCATTGTTCTGTTTTATTGATTAATGCAAAGTTCAGTATTACAGGCAAAAATGAGGAAAACTAGCACTGCATCACTTAACCAGCTTCATGTTCAGACTCGGTTCTTCTGTAGAAATCACTCAATATTGTACGGTGGTACAAGCATCAATAATTATAGCTTCTTTAGAGCTTTTAGAGCAACAAACCGTGAATCACAGTGAATCCATCACGATCACGCCCTAGACCAGTTACAATGATTTATTTTGTAAACTTTGTGAGAAAAATTGACTTTGCAAACTTCCAGAAGTTAAAAGCACCATATCCAAAAACATTCCATTTATATTCCCTGAGCTCTGCTTCGATTAGATTAGATTCAGCTTTATTGTCATTGTGCGGAGTATAAGTACAGAGACAGTGAAATACAGCAATGCAAGGGTTTATTGCACCAGAAATAAACCAGAGTCATTCAGTTTTTCCTTGATCGTTATCCAGCTTCTCTTTGATGATTATAAATAAACTTGTTCTCATAAACGACCTCTGTAATGACTGACTAACCTCTTCACATGTAACTGAATGGACATACATTGCTGTGTTTACATGTGTGTGTGTGTGTGTGTGTGTGTGTGTGTGTTTATTGCCATTATGAACTAATGAGCTCATGCTTATGACATCACAACCATGAAGATTCGTGATTTCCTATTAGTTTAGTTGATTAAATGTGTTTTAGTGCATTGAAGTATTTTGTTTCGGAGAGAACAAAAAACCTGGATTTATAAACGATATATATAATGCTGTAGTTAAAAATAAAATTAAAATCTTAAAATTAAAGGCATTGATGGATCCATGAGGAACATTTAACAGCCATAGAATCTTTCTATTGATCAAAAGGTTCTTTAGAATATTAAAAAGTTCTTTATATTAAGAAAAAAATGGTTCTTTTAAGATCTGTTTAAAGAAAGATTTTTTTGTTGAACCAAAAATCACTGCAAAAACATACTTTAGGAACCATTATTTTTAACAATGTTTGTAAATAATATTATATTTTAAGTAAACAAAGGCAATAGTAAAGATGCAGAATAAAATAATTCTGCAGTCTTAATTCAGTGATATAATGCAGGCAGTGTTTGTTGTAGTGAATGCAGATGCAGCACTGATGTCTGTGTGTGTGTGTGTGTGTGTGTGTGTGTGTGTGTGTGTGTGTGTGTGTGTGTGTGTGTGTGTGTGTGTGTGTGTGTGTGTGTGTGTGTGTGTGTGTAGAAGTGCGCGGGCTGTGTGTGTGTGTGTGTGTAGAAATGGGTACGGCCTTGTACGGAACGGCCAAAGGCATTGCCATGAGTGACCTCATCACCACGGTAACGCCGGAGAAGAAAGTCGAGGAGACGCGCGAGGAGGAGCGTGAGGAGACTCAATCGGTGCTGGTGGAGAGTGTGTCGGTGCTGGAGGAAGAGGACGAGATAACGAAAGCCACGGAACCGTCGCTGCCGAGCCCACTGACACCGGCCCGACAGGACACACGGGTAAACAGACCCTAACTAACACTAACTAACCCACTGACACCGGCCCGATAGGACACAAAGATAAACAGACCCTAACTAACACTAACTAACCCACTGACACCGGCCCGATAGGACACAAAGATAAACAGACCCTAACTAACACTAACTAACCCACTGACACCGGCCCGATAGGACACAAAGATAAACAGACCCTAACTAACACTAACTAACCCACTGACACCGGCCCGATAGGACACAAAGATAAACAGACCCTAACTAACACTAACTAACCCACTGACACCGGCCCGATAGGACACAAAGATAAACAGACCCTAACTAACACTAACTAACCCACTGACACCGGCCCGATAGGACACAAAGATAAACAGACCCTAACTAACACTAACTAACCCACTGACACCGGCCCGATAGGACACAAAGATAAACAGACCCTAACTAACACTAACTAACCCACTGACACCGGCCCGATAGGACACAAAGATAAACAGACCCTAACTAACACTAACTAACCCACTGACACCGGCCCGATAGGACACAAAGATAAACAGACCCTAACTAACACTAACTAACCCACTGACACCGGCCCGATAGGACACAAAGATAAACAGACCCTAACTAACACTAACTAACCCACCGACACCGGCCCAACAGGACACACGGGTAAACAAACCCTAACCAACACTAACAAACCCACAGACACCGGCCTGACAGGACACATAGATAAACAAACCCTAACTAACACTAACTAACCCACAGACACCGGCCCGACAGGACACAGGGGTAA